CTGTAACGGACTGTTCCCTTGGAATCAGCTCTCTGTGTCACAACGACCTGGCAAACTTGAATGCTTTCACTATCACTGGAGTCCTTGCAATCCTGCCTTGGTTGTGACCCATTCACTTCTGCCCTAACTTCTCAGAGATGCCTTATTCAGCATCTAATTAGTTAGGGAGGATTTGCCGCAGCTCTTAACCCTGACACAGGAGTGGGAGGATGTGCTGCTGTGGTAGCCCAAATCTGTCCTGTCACTGCATTAATCAGATTTCCATAAAGCTATGTATGAATAATTGGATTTATCAGTGAATGTGAATATGCACTCATAAATATAATTATTAAAAAATACCTACAATTATAGATAAGATATCTACACCTTAGAGGGATTTATTTTTCAACTGCGGTTACTTGGCTCACCTTAGCAAAAGGCTTTACAAATTACACAAACATAATGGACCTATTTGCACATGACAGAAAGGTGAGAAAAAATTAAGCAATTTCAAAATGATTACCTACTATGTTCAAATTCGTTTAAATGAATCATGTTGAAAATAAACTCAAAATTTGTGCACAGGTTTTTAACATGTACAAAATACACAGCTCAGCATATGTTTGTCCATGCTTTATGTGCATTAATGTTTACTTCCTTCCACATGGAATACCACATATGTGAACTATTACTTTCCCACTGCATTACAAATGAGACAGTACCTCTTATGTGAAGTCTGCATGTTATCCATGTATCTTCAAAGTTCAGAACAAAACCAAGCACCTGTCTCTATGCTACAATTTGTATTTTAACAAATACAAATATCCAAATATTCCTATTTTAGTGTTTCATTAGCAAAAAATATACTGAGAATATTTGAATATATGTCTATTGTTAAAAATAAAACATATTACTACTCAAATTAAGAGGGGCCTAAATTGGAGGTAGTATCCTAGTAATTCAACAAGCTAAAACTGCATACTTCTTAATATAATATAAATATTTATTTTAGCATTAAGACCACAAGGTTAGTCAATTTAATCCTTTTTCAGTGAGACAAGATCACCCAAACATACTAACTGTAAGGAAGGGAGTAAAAAGGGAGAAAAGTGCAGAAAGAAAACTAGGGATGGATGACGCCTCGCAATGAAAGTCATTTTCAAAGACCATTAACTATCAACTTGCTTTACACAGGGCTTTGATTAAATAAGAATATGCATCCTATGTAAAAAGGGATGTCTATTTGAGTGGGATAGAGTTTAGAATAAAAATGTGTTGTATAACTATAGAGAAGACTCAAACCAGATTGTACAATTAGGTGTCTGACTCATAATATTATATATATGCCTTTTAAATCATTAGTAAATAAATACTTTAAAAAGTGGGGGGGGAGGGGGAAGAACAAAACCATTTTAATTTAAATATATAGATCCCAGAAACTGACATTGGTGGCCTATATAAATAGGAAGAAAAGATTTCTTAAAGACAATTCATACTGAGCACTCTTTTAAATGGATTCTAGCGATGTTCTTACACATTTCTTATATTTTATTTATCATTTCTCTGAAAGGTGCTAGATTTTTATATTAGTAACAAAGTTTTGCTTTTAACAATACCTCGGGAAACTAAAACAGGTAAAATAAGGTTCATTCTCCACCTGCCACTGACAAACTGACCCAAAGAAGAACTCCCTTTACACAAGAGTCATACCCTTTAAGGTTCTCAAATATTCATCTATATACATAGAAATAATTTGAGAAAATCATACTTCAATATAGAAGAAAAACTGTATAGGCAGAGGAAAATGTAGTAAATAGTCTTAACTTGAACTTTAGGGGTACATACTTAATCCCACTAAATCTAAATTGGCTTCAGATTGTGATGTTTACTACTAGATACAAAGATTTACATGTAAGCAGATCCAGCTTTGCTCATTTCAAACAAAAGACAAAGATTTTTGTCTCCCTTCTTCCTACTTTACTTATAGAACACACAAAACTAGATTACTAAATTTCAGTATTCATGAGACATTTCCCACAAGTTTTTCTATAGTTAAATACTGGTGATATTATTACCTACAACTCAGTTTTGAAACCTTTTATAGCAGCATTACTGGTCAGACTTTTCTAATGTCTAAAAAAAATAATTGAGAAAATATTAGTTTTTATACTATTTAAGAAAACTTAAAAAAACCAATAAATTATATTTATTTCATAAGCTAAGTAAATTTTACTTAGAAATTAAAATCATAATCTAGAGAAACCTCTTTATGCCTTAGAAATGAGATATACAGAATTCTACATATTTGATTAAACTGAACAAACTTTTACCTGTAACAAAAGCTGGCTTAACTGTATATACTGAAAGTAATACTTGAAACAGCTGGCTTCAAGAGATTATCAGAGATATAATTTCAGTAAGTCTCTCTCACACACACACACACAGACACACACACACATGCTGAATCAGCATTGCTGATGAAGTATAGGTAAGAAAAACAAACATATTAACTATGAACAGCACACATACTTGTACTCACATAGTTTGAACTTAAGTTCATGTAATATTTATACAAGCTAAAATGTCATCTTGACGAGAAAAATAATGTAAGCTCATACCGTCTTTTATATGATTTCCAAAACTGCACAAGAGGTAAACATTTAGTGACCATGACAGAAAATGCCAGGGTTGGGTGGGTAGGCAGGAGTGATTGCTAACTATATCAAAACCAAAAAAATAAAGAAAACACATTTAAAACTGTGATTTCTCTCCCTTTGTTGTACTATAATTTATAAAGAGCAAAATTAATATTATACAGTTTTAATAGCACCCATTAAGCATAAATTACTTCCCTATATTTCTGTTCTCTCCATGTAGTCATTGATGCTCACCATTACACATGCATGCACACACAGGTACACACAAAATATGCACACAGTCAGACAGCTAGATCAAAGACATCATAAATTTTCCTAATTCTGACCCATCATTTATATTATTTACTTTTATTTGTTTTTTAGGTAAAATGTTTTCCATGACAAAATCTCTTTAGATTCAAATCTACTTGGAAATGGGCTAGTGCCAAATAAGCAATCTAACACCATCTATGTGGTTCAATAGCCATTTATCAATTGATCATTATCTCTATCTGGTTTTATTAACTCTTTTCTAGCTAGAGGGAGACCTAAGCCAATCTTCCCTTCTAACACACACACACACACACACACACACACACACACACACGATCTCCACTAACTCAAGGAAACCCCTGAAGGTGACAAATAATTTTTAAAATGAGGCACAAGTTATTTGGTACTAAGATTAGCGAAAACACTCTGCATTCCAACTATGAGAGAGCCACCCAGGCAGGGATGTGTCGCGGTAAACACCTCTAATAGCACTCTGCAGTGACAAGGAGCATCTCTGTGTGGAAATCAACTTTTCACTTTAAAGAATGGGAAACTGCACATGAAGAGTTACTTATTGAGTTTATGTTGATTGCATTTAAATCCCAGCTTACTGTATCAGCAGTAATCAGGGTCCCTCTACAGGATATGTCAAAATACACCTTATTCAAATGCATTTATCCTATCTAGAATTGTGTGCTAAAACTGTTCTCTAGCTAAATGCTACAAAACCCTGGTTGTAGGTAGTATCTCTTGCAAATGTATTTCTAAACTTGTAGTAGTTTATAGTCTGGCAAATTGTTTCATTTTATTATCAACAACTTTGAAAATCTAACTTAAATTTTCATGAACTCTGACGAACAAAAGGGTTTTATTTTTCATTAAAAAAAAAAGGAAAGAAAAATAAAGAAGGAAAGCAGCTGCAGTATTTTCTTCCTCATGAGTGGCACAATATCCATTTCTTAACACCTGCCACCAACTTAAAATCCAAGTATATTTGTCAATAGTACTTTCGTGCTGTGTGGATAATACCCAACTAACTTGCTTTGTGTGGGTTTGGTGCAGGCTTTTGAAAAGCAAGACGTGTATAGGAGGGAGGCACCAGGGAACTTCCCTCCCTCACTTGAGCACAATCCAAGATGAAGTTTCTGGGTTGTGTCCCCTTCCTTTCCTCTCACCCTCGCTCCCCCGCGGAGCCAAGGAGCCAGCAATTGTGCAAGAGGAGCCCGGCGCGCAGGGCGCGTATCACGGAGCGCATGGTACGAGCCGCCGGCTCCGGTGATTAATGATCAGTCACCGATGGCCTCGCGCTCACCGCGTCGGCTTTCCCAGCAGAGCCGGCAAGCCGAGCGCCTCCAGCGCAGCCGGGACGGAGGAGCGGCTCTGGGGAAGACGCCGAGGCTGCGCTCCAGTGAGTGCGCGGGCGGGCGGCCGGGCGGGCGAGCGAGCGGGCCGGAGCCGGCGAAGGGAACGCAGGGGCGGGCGCAGAGGGCCGGCTGGCGAGGAGGAGCGGAGCGGGGCCGAGGAGCGAGGACCGGGCGGCACAGCCCGCCACGCACGCCGGCTCCTCCAGCGACCCTCGGCGCCGGCAGCGGGAGCCTGCGCAGCCTCCTCTCTCTTCTCAGGTCTGAACGAAGCTGCTTCCAGCCACATGAAGTCAGCAGGGCTGTTCTGAGGGGCCCCTAGATTTTACGACTGTTTTTTGGGTTGCAGAACCTACTCTGAGAGAGCAGACACTTTGACGAAGTGATTCATATTGACAGATACGTTTCTTGGGTGGTGGCTTTTTTTATTCTTAACAGAAAACAAAGAAATAAATTGTCTTCCCCTGACCCAGGCTGTACTGGGAAACTTTTCAAAAATGTCTCTGCTTTCTTTTACTTCAGTATCCGTTTTCCTTTTTCTTTTAAGACGCCCTTAGGGAAACCATGAAGTAACCCTGCACATTCCAGTAACACAGTTATGACAAAACAGAGCCTAACTAGGAAGTGACCACATTTTAAAAAATATTTAAAAGGAAAGACACCAGGAACAAACGTGCCCATAACAATTCAAGGTTTCTTAAAAAAAAAAAAAAGAAAGAAAGAAAGAAAGAAAAGAAAGTAAGTAACTT